GTGATGTGTAGTCATCTGCATTATTTCGCTCTGTGCTGTAGAATATAGCATAGAATAGAGAATTACTCATTTTCAGTGAGACTCTCTAATGTGCTCAGGTATAGCATTTGTTAGCTCTTTACAAACACTGATTAATATTTTCAAAGATCTCTCACAAAAAGAGGCAATATCATTATGGCTTCTTTTTACAAAGGAGGAATGAAAGTGGCAAGATTAGAGCCACTGAAAGCTTCCCTGCACTTTGGAGGTGCACAGACTGATTTTTCAGTGCTTATAGCCCTCACTATACCACATGTTGGCATATGAGATGCAGTTTGTCGTGGCCTGGGTTGCAGCTGTGAGATCCTACTGACTTCCGCAAACCACAGGCCCCATGTTTGCCAAAAAACCTCTATTCCATGTAACACTGACAGTAGCAGCTTTATTCTGGGACACGTACCACTCTGAAGTGCCTGCAATAATGCCACTTGAGTTTACATGGTGGCTCCACAGCCTGTAAGGGTCATTCATCCAATTTCACTGTAAGAAAGAGCATTGTTTCTGTCACTGCAGACCTGTTTTAATCAATGTTCTGCAGTGCTGCTGCTGCAATGAAAGCGGCTGAGCCCTAGCAGACAGCAGTCTCCTCCCTTGCACAGTCGTGACAAATTCCCACAGCACAGGCCCCAGAATTGAAAATTCCCCCAGGTAAGGCAAGGAGTCCTGAGGGAAAACCACAGGAGTTTGTGATCAGGTCACTAAAAGAGCTTATGATAATATTCAGAAGGAAATTGGAGTAAGGTTTCACAAGCAAATTTAGTTTCATTTTTCATTCTTGATTTTGCAAATTTAGGTTTCTTCTAACAATATAAAAGCATCAAGTCAGCAGCTGGGAAAGGAGAGGTGTCTCTGAGTGAAAGCTCTGCTTTATTTGGCAGGTCTCCATCAGCTAAGCTCACATTCCAGGTGGTGGCCAAACTGTCACCTCCTGGGCACTAGAGGGGGATGGATGCACATGCTTTGCTGGTGAATTTCACAGGCAGAGAAACAGAGCTCCTGCTTCTGGTTTCAATACCCGAAGCTAAAGGAAGTGGTGACAAACCTATTCTCTCCTCGTGTTTTTTTATATTTTTTCTTTTTTTGGTGTGGGTGTGGACTTTTCCTTTCTCTTCCCTTTGCCTTCTGTTCGTTGCTGTCTCTGCTTCTCCATTCCAATGCATTATTTCCCTTGACTTCTAAAGGCTGTCTTGTGCTGTGCCTTTCCTCCTTCCAGAGAGAGCTCTTGCTTTTGCTCTTAACCTCTGCTCACAATCCCTCACCTCTCCTGTTCCTGCCCACCTCTTGTACCTTCACAGCCTGCATTAATTACATTAGACACAGATTCTTACTCCATCCTCAGCAAGACAGTCGTATCTCAGCCCCTTTGAACAGGGTATCAAGCAAATCATTATTAACATTCATGCTCTCTCTGTGATCAGGTCTCTGAGATGGGGAATGTTTGGTTACATAGAGCTTTAGCTCAAGATTGTTGAGGTTTTTAATTGTATACATACTAAAGAAGATCTGTTTTGTTAAAGACCTGTTGAAGGACACTTCACCTGTATTCAGAGCACACTGAGGTGAGGCCCATGAGTATCAGATCTTCTGGGAGTTCCCTCTGAAGCCTAGTATTTGCCTTCATGGTAGAAGGTAACACTATCTTGAAAACCCAAGATGTTGACTATGATCTTCACTGTGGAGCACTAGGCAGTCTTTTCAGACAGCTGGTTACGTAGACGCTCATTAGGGTAAAAGAGGAGTCAGCAAATACAGTGTTGTCTTCAGGTGAGCCAAACCATGGGAACCTGGCATAGTGCCCTTCAATTCAAAGAAAGTTGAACTGAAGCCATTGTGTACCTTGAAGATAAAAACCATGAAGCAGGTTTCAGTAAGAAGTAAAGCTGCAAGTAGAAACTCTCTGATGCACTCTCAGTAGCCTGAAATTCAGGCTACTGAATTGTGAACCCTGTCCTGGGTTCAGGCTGTTAGTGAGTCACTGAGCAGACCTTTGGCTTATGAAAGTGGCTTCTGTGAGAAGCTGCTAGAAGCTTCCCCTATGTCTGATAGAGCAAATCCCAGTCAACTCCAAGTCAGACCCACCACTGGCCAAGGCCGAGCCCATCAGCAATGGTGGTAGTGACTCTGTGATAACATATTTGACAAGGGGAAAAAAAACTGCTGCAGAAACAGCAGTGGAGAGAGGAATGAGATATTGGAGAAACAGCTCTGCAGATACCAAGGTCAGTGAAGAAGGAGGGGCAGGAGCTGCTCCAGGTTCCAGACCAGAGACTCCGCTGCAGCCCATGGTGAAGGCCATGGTGAGGCAGGCTGTGCCCTGCAGCCTGTGGAGGTCCATGGTGGAGCAGATATGTACCTGCAGCACATGAAGAACCCCATGCTGAAGCAGGTAGGTGTGCCCAAAAGAGGCTGTGACCCTGCGGGAAGCCCGAACTGGACCAGTCTCGTGGCAGGACCTGTGACCCCATGGAGGACCCACACTAGAGCAGTTTGTGAAGAACTTCTCCTTCCCCTCTACTCTGCCCTGGTGAGACCGCATCTGGAATACTGTGTTCAGTTCTGGGCCCTCAGTTCAAGAAGGACAGGGAATTGCTTGAAAGAGTCCAGCACAGAGCCACTAAGATGATGGAGGGAGTGGAGCATCTCCCTTATGAGGAGCTGCTGAGGGAGCTGGATCTCTTTAGCTTGGAGAAGAGGAGACTGAGGGGTGACCTCATTCATGTTTATAAACATTATAAGGGTGAGTGTCGGGAGGAAGGAGCCAGGCTCTTCTCAGTGACAGCCAACAACAGGACAAGGGGCAATGGGACCAAGCTGGAGCATAGGAGGTTCAGTCTGAACATGAAAAACTTTTTTACTGTAAGGGTTACAGAGCATGGCCCAGGCTGCCCAGAGAGGTTGTGGAGTCTGCTTCTCTGGAGACATTCAAAACCCGCCTGGCTGTGTTCCTGTGTGACCTTGTCTAGGTGATCCTGCTCTGGCAGAGGTTGGACTGGATGATCTTTCGAGGTCCCTTCCAACTCCTGATATTCTGTGATTATGTGAACTGTAGCCCCTGGAAATGACAAAGTTAGCTTATAAGATAGGAAGGTGAGTTGTGTTTAATGTAGAGGTTGTTACATGATCACTAGTACCCAGGGACTTAGTTGGTTTGTCTTCTTTGGGGTTTGCTTTTTAGCCCTTATTTTTACAATTTATTCCTCTTTCACCAAACTGGGGGAAAATGTGTGGTTTTTAATCAAAACTGGCAGGTATTAAATTCTTCTTCTTTTTAACTTCTTTTTTCCTTGACTGACTTCCTTTTAAAGTCCTTTGAACATCTATTTCTGCATGTAAATACGTGTTGATGTGTGTGTATATGTATATGTATATGTATATGTATATGTATATGTATATGTATATGTATATGTATATTGTATATTGTATATGTATATGTATATGTGTGTGTGTGTATGTGTATATGTATGTGTATATGTGTATGTATATGTATATTGTATATTGTATATGTATATGTATATGTGTGTGTGTGTATGTGTATATGTGTGTGTATATGTGTGTGTATATGTGTGTGTATACATATACGTATACGTATATGTGTGTATATATGTATATGCAAAGTTTTTTTCTTGCTATTTTAGCTGGACTCTTTAAGGAGGCCAGGACTGAGCTATCATACTCTCCTGTCTGTCTACTTGCTCATCAGTCCTTATTTGGTGAATTTGAGCCCTCTTGCCAAACAAAACTAGATTGGACCCTCTACTGAAAAAACTCAGAAATTAATTTCTGTTTCATGGAAGCCATTGAGAGATAAATGGGACAGGAAAGAGACACAAATAGCTTCCCTTACTGCAGCTAAAGGATAATCTCAATGTTTTTTCTATCCTGACAGATGACCAGTCAACACACACAGCTTGGCACCGACCGCAACACGTGCTGCCTGCTCTCCAGACAGACAGGAGACAGCATGATGTTGTGGGGCATGTGGTAGCACACTTGAAGGTGGAGACGTGGAGCTCTTGCAGTGAGAGATGGAGGAACAGATTGTACGCATCTGTAGGAAACCAAATTTCAGCATTGCTGCTGTCCAAGGAACATCTGCCATCTGTTTGGAGGGAAGTGAGGGTAATTGTGAAAGGGTGCGGGGAGGGCTAAGGGAAAGGTCTTAAATATGTAGAAAACTGGACTACATTCATTCTTGTGGCATAACACATTAGCTTTCAGCCTTTGTTTTTCCCATCCTGGAAGCAATCCTGAACAACAGCTTTTGTCTAGTCAACACATTTTTGAATCATATTGCTCAGTTTCTTAGGGAAGGACTTGGTGAATAATGGGAGAAAGGTTTAATGCCCACAGTTTACTGCAAGACTTAGAAAAGGAACCTATAAGGAAGCAGTAAGAAAGAGCTACATCAAGCAACTACATCCATGGACTAGAGTTCTTGGTGGAACAGAAAAGGTGTTGGGATCAGGGAATGACATCTCAGGAAAAGGAAGGATTTATATTGATCTATACTGATAACCATTACCATTACCATTACCATTACTGATTACCATACTTTTATGTATCTATTAATCCTTAATTGATGATGCACTGAATAAAATTTACTACTGCCCCTTCTCCTGAAAGCAAAAACTTCCAGAAAGCCAAAAGCATATAGTTTTAAGCAGCTATAAAACTGCTCACTAAAAATAATTCTCTTGAACCTACTACAACTGGAACATATGTTGGTGCTCTTAGACAGTCTTTGAATATGTTAGACTAAAGGTTTTTGAAAGCATATAGGATCATGAAATGTTTAGAATTCTCTGCTTTTAATTGTAAAATGCTATAAAATTACTTCATCATACAAAAAATGTATATGGCTTGGCAAGAGGCATCAATGATTTGCTTGAAATGTGTTCAGCTCATAAAATCCTCTAATCTCTTCAAAAATAAGTATTTAAGAGCACAGATGTCATCTGTTTTCAAAACCAGCCTGGTTTGATATATAGGGTTTCTAGATGTGATATGTTTAGGGCAGACCCTCCTAAGATGGGCCTGAAGAAGAGCTCTTCAATAGCATCTACATCAATGTCTCGAAGAGAGGTGATTAGCTGAAGAATCCAAGCAAACCTGCCCAGGTTTCTGTTGAACATCATTGAGATAAACTTCATCAGTGCTTGCTGAGCTTCCTGCTGCAGTGTTTGTACATAGGGGAGGCATTTTAGGACATGACATCCTGTCAAAACAAGAAGTAAAATAATAGATCTTAAGTAAACACTTTCATTCGGTGCCCTTCATAATGATGGGTGTCTGGCTTTCTAGCTTATAGTATTCGTTTCTCTAGAAAACAATAAAAACATCCTAAACCTACTTTTTGGAAAAAGAAGATATGAGTAGTTCAACAATTTGAAGGAACATTGAGCAGCATTGTAAGCACAATGGAATCTAGCCCATTGCATTAAATCCAGCTTTGAGATGGTAACCGGAGATAGCTTTGACTCATTACAGATGGAGAAGCAGCTTTATAGTGCTGTCTACCCACCAAAGGATGCTGAGATCATAGTCTGAGTAGGTGGAAACATTCCATCTCTAACCTAAAATAGGTAGGTAACATCAGGAAGATGGAGGCAGTGGTTTGGAGCAGTGAGCAGAAAGCAGTGAGCAGGCTGGCAGTCTGAAGACAAGGATTTCCAGGCTACGCAGCTCTATCTCCCTCCTCTTGTTGCCTCTGCTTGCTAGGCTAAACTGGGGTATTGTTTGACCATGCTATCTAAGAATCTTCATTTACACTCTACAAAGAGTATAAAGGCTCTCTGTGAGGTGTATCATGACCCACAGGAGTTTGATGGATAACTGTATTTCCTGGTTTTGTACTCCCTTTCCTTGGCCATTTGTGAAGAGGTCTCTGCCTTATGGAGCCTCAGCAAAGCCTGCAACCAGGCTGGCCAGAAATAAAGGATTTGGAGAAGTCATCTTCTCCCCCAGGACTACCACCAGCTGCAAGCTGTGAGGATGGTTCCAAGTGTTAGATACTTCATGGGATGAAAGTTGTCAGGATTCTGTATATTCAGGATGAAATTGCAATTGCTTATATCCCTTCAAATTTGCTTAATTTCCCCATTTGGTCTTCTTTTATATGTAATCGAACATGGTATGGCACTGATACAATAACAGCACTGGTTTTCACGATTGCCATCTCTTCATAGTGCAGTTCCCATTGGCAAAAGCAGCAGGAGCAGTTTCACATCACTCCGTGCTGTTCATGTCTGGTGTGACAGTCCTACCTGCTCCTTCCTTTGCCTTACTGCCTGGGCCCTTCACCCATGCACATGGTTACCTCTCTGAAGCCACCTCTTTGCCTCAGCCAGTTTTGGAACAAAAAGTACAGGGTAAGAGCCCACACGAGGTACCCCATGATCCAGGGAAGGGTTTAGCATTGTCACTGCTGGTGGCTGCCTGAAATCTGCTTAGAACTGAGCTCCATAAAATGTTAGGATTTGGCCAAAGATCAAGGTAAAACTAAGAGGGCAGCTGAATATGTGCTGTGTGTGTGCAGAAAACATTTTCTGAGTTTAGTGAAAGTGTTCATAAACCATTAAAAATAATAACTGTGAAATTACAGTTGTTTGCAGCAAAACAGGTAGAGAAAGTGTAGTCTGAGCTGTGCATAGTCCCTAAGTACCTGTTTCAGCTCAGAGTTAGACGGTGACTCTTTGTTTCATCTGGAGTCAATGCAGACTTAACTGAGGTTCTCCTTTCAGAGCCCATGGAGAAAGGCACCTCCAGAGAGGAGGGTCATCCCGCCTGAGGACCAGGGAGTCTCCCTGGAGCTCTGGATGGTGTCTGCAGACACCATGAAGGGCTCCTGGGCCTCTCACATGGCATCCCGGGGAAGCAGCAGGAGTTAGCACAAACCCAGAACATAACACTGCTTTCTCCTTCATTACGTAAAAATCACGTTTATCTGCAGAGATAATAAATATGCCTGCTAGTTTAACTGTGTAATCCACTGCAGATGAGGGATTTCTCTTCTTATCATCACCCTGGATATAACCAGTGGTTTCTTTCGGACTGATTTTATTGTGAAAAATTGAGACAGTAACTTGCACTGAAATGAAGTCCACTGGTTTGATGCCGTGGCACAGACACACAAGACAGTACCAAACATCTGGCTGACATTACATCTCAAGAATCAGAATCTGAATCCTATTGGAAATGAATATAAAGTCGCTATAGCCTTTGAGCAGCCTCTAAACCATTCACCACAAGAAATATCAGGGAATAACTGAAGCGTTCAAGTACATCCTTTTGGTGCAGTCCCAAGCATCGCACACTGCTGACTGTGCAGCCAACAGCGGTGATTGCTGTGGAAGGCTTTGGGGATCAGAGCCAGAGCAGACTGAGGTCTGTAAGTCTTTCCATTGACTTTGGTGGACTCAGAGCTCAGCTTTTAATGACTCACGAGCTCTGCAGCGCTGACCTCGGCAACCTCCCTTCCTAAAGAGGCTGAGCTTGGCACCAGAAGTGAGAGCATGCAATCACCGCTCTGAGTTTGCTCCGTGACTGCTGTCCCAGGCTTTGAATGTAGAGATACTCCAGGATAAATAAATACATCAAAGCTGTGTAACCTCAGCACAGTATCCTTTTGCCTCATTGATGGAAATCAGATGATACAGATTATTTTATCTTCTCCAGTGTTCTGGCTACAGAGGAAGCCTGTGTTAAAATACTTCTAAACTATCCTGTACTCATCTACCATCTTTCTTTTGCCATACACCGGGTGAGGCTGCTGTATTGCCTTTGAGCTGGCGATCAGTTTGAAGTGACACAGTTAATTCTTTATGACTTACAATTCTTCTGATAGAAGCTGTTTTGGCTTGCAGTGGGTGACCTACTGCACACATCCAAGGAAGCTGAATGAACTACTTCAGGCAGAAAAATCATTACATTGTGGAATATAGATTTTTGAGAACATTTAGCTATATTCATAGGAAAGAGTTAAACTAAGCATTTGTCTATATGCAAATGAAAATGCCCAATGTCCTTCAAGGCACATAACAATCTGTGTAATTTCCAGGAGGACTTACCAGAACTGAAAAGAATAATTCCTTTAAGATAGGCATATTCTTTTGCACTTATGTCCAGGTCCCAGAATTTCCACAATAAACTCTTCATCTTCTGAACTTCTTCTAGAGATGCTCCTGGTGACAAGCTGCCCAGTTCATTGCCAGCTGTCGAAGACTGATTGAGGAGGATTTTTTTCAATAAGCTAGGGGCTGAAATCTCCCTCAGGTCAAAATCCACCCCTTCTTGTGCTAGGCCCAGGACAAAAAGAGGGGCCCAGTTCTGCTGTATGAGGACAACCTGATCCTCCCAAGGCATGTGAGAAAAAGAAGGCAAGTTTCTAATGAAAGTCAAAGTCTTCAAGAGCACTTCAGAAGCTCTTCGAGTTGTGGCTTCTGGTGTTTTCAGGACAACTCTTCTGTCCACGCAAGAGCAGCCTTGGCTTCCCATGGAGTGGTGGGGACCGCGATACCTCTGGTGCCACTTGGTCTCGCGTCCATGCTTATTGTTAAGGATCTGGTAGAGGATACTCTTAGTTTGATGCGTCTCACACTGACATTTCCCTAATTTCTCAGCTGGGATCTCGGCAGCCATAGAGTCAGATCTCCCTGTGGCAGGAAACAGCACACAGAGCTATGCCTCAATGGCAGGGGAGAGCATTTCTGCCGCACAGTGAGGCGTTGTGTGCTTTTTATATACAGGGGTGGGTGAAAAGTGCCATGACCCTGATCTGTGAATTTATCTTGAACTTGATTTCCAGCAGTTTTGAGCGAGGTGGGGCCGCAGGCCACTGGTGTGACACAGGGCTGCTATAGGCTCACTGGGCCTGGCCTCCTGCCACAGCAAGCCAGGGGCCCTGTGCTGCTGCCACCAGTCCTGTCTGTACTTTTATTGATACACTGACCTTGCCCTCTAGCTAATGCTCTGGAGTGTGCAGAAATACATTGATACTCATGAATGATGCTATGGTGGCAGTCCTTTGAGTATCCACTTTTATTTCTTGTTAAAAGGAGCCACCTGAAGACACTGTGGATGTCTGCCTTTGCTTTTCACAGAGCACTTAACAGCGTTCTCAGTTTACACTGTAGCTAAAATGATATAATGCCTATGTCAAGGAGCTCACAAGTGAAATTTCCCAGGGCAGAAATCCCATGTATAGGAATTACTTCACATTCCTGGTAGATTTGAGAGAAACTTCAGAGAAAGCCAGCTGCTATAGCTCATGACAATGTTATCTCCTGTATTTCACATGTGATAATTTCAAACACAGAACATGTGGACTTCTCCCAGACTTGCTGTGTAGTTAAATATTCTTAACACAAGCAGTGGGAACAAAACTGATGAAAGAGAGCAAAATGGCAAATCATACTGTTGTATGTGTGGACTGTTGCAGCAGAGCAAGAGCTGGATGCTAGAACTGTTGGGACTCTTCAGTCGACATCAAGTAACATTAAGTAGTAGGAGTGCAAGGAACTCAGCCTTAGTAAGAATAAATTGATACTTCAACTTTTTATTACTTCAAATTCTCTTGCCTACTCTTATATAGGGGAAGAGGCACTAAGTATTTTCACCAAGCATACCATTTAAGCATTCCTACCATCTGGGCTCATAGTTTGTCTTCACAAACAAGCAGTAAAAGCAAGAGCTCCAAGAGCTACTCCTGTTTGATCTCCCAGCCTCAGCTGTGCAAAGCCCATCCTATCAGATGCATAAGCCACAACTTTGTCCTTTGCTACAAATGTCTGGTTTTTCCATGCTGGACTATTTTAAAATTTCCATTTATTTACCTCTCCATGATATTTATGTTGCAAAATTTTCCCCTTCTATGGAGATAAAAAGTGGAGGAAAGATGACTGCTCCAAAGTTGAGCAATTCAGAAGTCTGATGTTGCTGATGTGCAACCACCACTAAGTGCAGTGAAGGTCAAGGGGGCCCAGAGCACTGAACACCGATGGGATTTGCTTGCCCACCTCGCCATCCATTCAACAGCTTCCTACTGCTGTCCATTGCTGGGGTATCAGAGATTTTTAGATAAAAGGGCACAGCAACAGCAAAGTCCTCAGCAAGCCCCTATTAATTGTGCTTATTAAAGTTCTACTCCAGATTAAATTAGTTCCTTTCCTACTTTTGTTTTTCTGAGATCTGCATCAATCATATGCAGAATCCTGATGTCAGTGACATATGGTATTGGATAGCATTTCTATTTCACAGAATCACAGAACGTTAGGGATTGGAAGGGACCTCAAAAGATCATCTAGTCCAATCCCCCTGCCGGAGCAGGAACGCCTAGATGAGGTTGCACAGGAAGGCGTCCAGGCAGGGTTTGAATGTCTCCAGAGAAGGAGACTCCACAACCTCTCTGGGCAGCCTGTTCCAGTGCTCTGTCACCCTCACTGAGAAGAAGTTTCTTCTCAAATTGAAGTGGAACCTCCTGTGTTCCAGTTTGTGTCTGTTACCCCTTGTCTTATCGTTTGCCACCAAGAAGAGCCTGCCTCCATCCTCGTGACACTCACCCTTTAAATATTTACAAACATTAATGAGGTCTCCCCTCAGTCTCCTCTTCTGCAAACTAAAGAGACCCAGCTCCCTCAGCCTTTCCACATAAGGGAGATGCTCCACTCCCTTAATCATCTTTGTATTTATGATAATTGATTTCCTTTGATTGTGTATAGGTCTAGAAGGCAGAAGCAAATTATATTTTTCTAACAGGAGTTCCTGGTATATTATAATAGCTTTATGACTGTTATCCAAAAATACAGAGTAAAGGTTACTGTCTCAGCCCAACTGCTGAGGACACATCATCAGCTTTTTCTGAGAGAATGATTACTGAGAATTATGAGTCAATATTGAGTTGCAGCTGAAACTGATCTTGGTGGTCCTGGTCAGAAATGAGCTCTCTGTGTGACCTGATTTTCTCAAATGTAGAGGACCAGCAGCTAAATTTGTCTCTATGCTCATAAATTAGACAGCAATTAATTTTTCTTTCTAAATCTTACCTATAGAATAGGTTGAAGCCACATGCACCAAGATATCAAGCATCTACAGTCCTCTCGCTACAGTGGCAATGCTTCTTACCTTAAGATGTAAAGGAAATAGACTATACGGAAAAACAATCTTCTGATATGAGAAACCCCCATGGACCTGTGTCTATTTTAGCTGTTTCTAGCATTGTGGGTCTCTATCTCTCCCATGAATAATGTTGTCTTGCACAGCTGTATATTACTGTTACAGGTAATATATACTTAATATAGCTCTTTATCTTAGTTGTTTAGGTGATTCATGCAGAATGCAACTTTTTTCCTAAAATACCTGGATTTCTCAGGTTTGCCAAAACTGCCTGCCAGTCACAGATGATGCCAAGGCTTCTGCCCTCTCTGACCAGCATGCAACAGCAAGGTCAGTGTAATCAAGTCAGCAGGAGCTGCAGGATATTTTTTACCATTAAATATCCAGTGACTTATGCATATTCTTAAATATCCTATTGTGTCCAAAAGTATAAGGCATATGGTGGTTTTGGCTCTTAGCCCATAGCCATAATTCGCCTAATAGAATACTTGGAATACTTTTGGCAGTAGCCAAATGTGAGTCCTTCAGGAAGAATGTAAGATATATGCCTCTCTTTACATGAGTACTTTTCTTGCCTTCAACCATTTGCAGCTTAGGGAATTCCCAAACCACAGTGATTTTATGCATTTAATAACCCTTAATTATTTTCTACCCTATGATCTCATGCAGTCTGCTCTTGAAGCCACATCAGCCTCTGTCACAGAGCTCTGTGGATGCTCTACATGAGACAGAATTCAATCAAACATGACATTTGCTGGATTTGGTGCCTTCTTATTCTTATACTGGGGAAAATTAAAAGAATCAGTCAATCCCTATTCACCCTTTCTATAGCTTTCTTGATTATATAGATCTTGGGAAGGCTCCCACAGCCATCATTTGTCCAAAAAAAAAGACATAGCTTCTACATTCGTGTTACCTTTCTCTGAACCCTTCTTAGCCCTATATCTTTTTAAGAGGAAGTGGGAAAAGTATCAGAACAGAACACAGTATCTGGGACTCAGGAGAGCATGGATGTACACAAGGGCACAATGAAGTTTTGTCTTTCCTAGAAGTCCCTCCCAAACACTGAGATGTTGTTGCCGTGAAACTGCCACAGCCCCCAGGTTGTGCTCCTGAGTGACAGTCATCTGTTCAGAGGCTCTCCTCTTAGTCAGGAGTGTTTTATCATATGTGCATATTTTCCCATATAGATATAGGTATATGTACACTGAATTATCATTTGACACCTAATTGGTGTCATTTTCATAAAGTCCTTCTGCACTTCTTCTGGCAGCCCTAATCTTCCTCAGAATAATTTTGTATCATCAGCAAATATTCATATTCTGAAACTTGGAAGGCACTGCTTTTCAGAAGAGTTCACTCAGAGCTATGAGTTGTTTAAAAGATGATCATAGTTTAACTATAGGGCTGAAAATCTGTCATCCTTGCAGTAGAGTGTCTATATATACAAGTACATATGTGTTGGACTATACGTATTGGTACACAATGTATACAGTAACTAAGTTACTCAGAGATTAGACTTGATGATGGTCCCTTCCAACCCAAACCACTCTATGATTCTAAGTTATTACTAAGCAGTGATGCAAGCTCTCCTAATTTCCTAAAAAGTGAGACTGGAGGTGGATACACTTCTGGAGGAGAAGCAGCTTCCACTGTAATTTCATATGGGCTAAAAGAAGGAAACACCTTCCTAGGAAGCTCACAGCAACCTTTTCGAGGCCATCCTGTCACATCAGTCTGATACGTGCATGTATTCCTCGATTCAGTGATCTCTTATCTCTCTGGTCTCCTGTACAAACATTTAATTGGCCTATAAATGTGTATATGACCTCAGAACAGAATTCTTTAGGAGTTTTATACATTTTGTTTTCTGGGAGGAGTTGGGTGAATCTCATCTCATTGGTACTTTTGAGGACACCTGACTTCATGAACAGCCTTAACGATGACTAAAGGAGACAGTAATAAAATCAGTGTCTTTCTAGGAGGGTTGCACCTCCTCCCTGTCCCATGGTGCACACCTCCTTTCTTGAGCAATAAAGGTATTTGTTTCTCAACTGAAGCAAGCGAGAGCTACCATTGCAACTGCCTGCTTTGGTTGGGCAGACGGTGGACAGTATCAGCCCCAGGCTAAAGCCTGCTCAGCTTTGAAACAAGCTCTGAAACAGTCTCTTTAGCCTATGCTCCAACAGGTGATGCCACGGCAAACTAGGATTTGGCCCTTCTAGCTGAAGCAAGGGTACATAAGTTATAAATCTTCCTCAAAAAACTTCCTCAAGTAAGAAGGACAGGCGGGTCCTTGTCATAGGGGACTCACTGCTGAAGGGAGTGGAAGGTCCTATTTGTAGTCAAGACCTACTCCTCAGGGAAGTCTGCTGCCTCCCAGGAGCCAGGGTCAAGGACATACAGAAAAAACTCCCTATCCTAGTTAAACCCTCTGACTACTACCCATTGGTGATCTTTCAGGTGGACAGTGATGAGATTGCAACAAGTAGTTTGAGGGCAATGAAAAGGGATTTCAAGGGCTTGGG